CGCTAGGGATTACAACCAGCTTCATTAGGAAATTTGCCAATTCTGGAAAATGTTGGTTTACTGTCACTAAAAAGTATTCACTAAATATTTCATAACACTATAACTATCTTAATCCGAGTCACCGTCTCCCGAGTCGCTACCACTTGAGTTCACCCTGTCTGTCGTACTCTCATCCACCTGACAGCCAAATAAAGCATTCATCCATTCAGTGCCAATAAAATGGCTACTAAATGGTGAAGTAATCAGTGGTGGTCCTATGGGAAGAATCTCCCTTGCTAGAGTATTGTGGAATTTCCCCTACTGGTTCAGGGTTATACACAGCAGATGACCTCTAATTCCTCAATGCTCATGAGTGAGAAATGACTTTGCCTTTGAGTTGCATTGAAGTCGTGGTTCCTGCCCATTTTGGAATCTCAGCAGAAATTATTTATAAACAAAAAAACAAAAGAAACATTGGTTCACGTTTCCTGTGACACTAAAATTAATGAACTAATTGCATTATAATCCAATGTTAAATTACCGCATGTTTGTAATGGCAAGCATACGCAGATGTCACGTAGTTCAAATTATTAAACAAGAAATGCTCTCAGACGTGACGTCACCATAACGGGAGCCACAGCAGGCCTGACGTCACAACAGGCCAAGCGCTGAGTGTTCAGCGCTCGCACGCGAAGCTCACACTCGGACTGGCTCCACATCGGCAACGCTTGCATGAAGATGCCACTGCTGGAAAGCATCATGGGGCTTCGCTGTGCTGAGCTCCTGTCACAACGGAAATGTGGTGGACTACAAGGACGACGATGTCAGCTGCTTGACTCCGATGCTGCTGCACAACACCAGACGTGACCCCACAGGTCATTGCCGATGTGCGGGGTGTTGGCGATGATGGCCGTGGTGCAGATCATCACGTGGTGTCGTTGGAGAATTGGTGAGGTGCAACATTGTGAATCTGTGGGTCGCTGTTGTGAGTTTACGGCGCCTCTTGCGTAACTGGCAGCAAGTGTCCTACATATTGTAAACGTGCAATGATTGGAGAACTCACCACAGTTAGAGAATGTTCAATAAATATTTGCTCGGACGAGGTACAGCAAAGCCCCCCAAAATACAATACGAGTGTGTGTCCTATAACGTCATATACCGCTGATAATTATTCATCGTTGTTATGATCTGCTATGATTAATCAACTGTCGGATGAAGGACTCCAAAATGAATATCAATCTCACGGTCCTGCAGTGTAATAATTCACGTAGTGCCTGCTGCACACGGATATCTATGTGAGTCGATGGGTTTCTATGTGAATCTTACCCCTGCTGTGTGTGTGTGCTTTTAAGTCCCAGGCCTCCCTTAGTTCGACTCGGCCTTACATTAGTACCTGGTGTGGTGTGTAGATATCAGTATTGGGGAGACAAAGGCGGCTGAGCTTGGTGTTGGCCACCCGCCCCCTCATGTGCCGTGTTGGCTTCATAGGTGCTCGCTAAAAGCATTTGCTCCAACAATCTGTTAAAATTCATAATATTGTACAGTTTTTTGGGTGTGGTGAAGCCAATACCACCTGCACAGCTAATTAGGGTCGCCACGTAAACAAAACGTGCCAATTAGTGACTACTTTAACACACCGGTGTGTTGGAGAGCAAATTCACATTTACAATTTCCGTACGACTTTTGCTGGTGATTTAAAACCAGCATCAGGTGAATTCCAGAGTGGCCTACATAATATATCATTTTATTATTGTTGTTATTACTACTGTTATTACTATACCGGATGGCACAATTCCTGTCCCACTCACTCTCCAAAATCGAAACAACTGCACTGGTGACCGCGGAAGACAAATGTGCCTCTGACACAGATGATGTGTCAGTCGTTGGGGTCCTTGCCACGTAGATGGTTGAGGATTGTCTCCTCCGGGCTTGCGTCGGTATCGATTCTGTTGAGAGAGATGATACTTTTGAACACTTTAGCTTTGACCTTTTTCAATAATTAACCTTTGAACATTATAACTACTGCTACTGCCGTTGCTCACTCTCGACCTACGATTTATTTCAGTTATCCATGTCGTAGCAGCAGTTAGTATGCAACTGTGAAAACATAAATGATTGGTAAATGTATTCTATGGGCACATTGATATGTAGCTTTTAATATAAAAGAAAATCTTCAAAAACACTCGACAATGAAAAGCAACGTCACGAGGTGGCACAGATTGATCCTCATCTATAAATGTGTAAAATATTGACTTAAAGATTTCGTGACTGCAGGAATTCTTATTCTTTGGGTCTTTCAGTGACGTAACGGAGATAGATTCAAAGAAAATAACAAAAATAACAAAACTACGACGTTTTGATCGCAACACAAGCATTCGTCATCAGGAAGAGGGGGTTAGCTTCTAAAGGTAAAGTTAACGTAAGTGGTGGGCAGCGATATCTGTCTCGAAATTTTCCATGATAACATTGGCTACAACTGGAGATAAGGGAGAACCCATTGTGGTAACTTTAACTTATTTGTCGACTGACTCCGCCTTTCACCTTCACCCCAGATATGCCCTCCTTATAATAAGACATAATGTAATGCAGTCATGACCGTAATTACCACTCCAGGCCGACAGGTGCCACCCTGTCATTACATCACCCCTCCGTGGTTTAAAGATAGCCGTCCCGGTTAATAATAATAACCAAAACACACGTGATGCAGAAAAAGTTCCGCCAGAAGTGGAACAAATATAACAAAATTTGTCTGTGAATAGGGCAGAACGATCTGTAATAAAAGGGAAGGATTCAACCAGCAACCTAGGGAGGTAAGAGAACAACAATAGAAACAGAGAGGGGAAAGAAGAGAATAAAAAAAAATTGTCTTAAAACACGCGAGCGCAACCCCCCCCCCCCAATTCCCACATACACACGCAACCAACGGTGTTATCGAAATTTTAAACATTTGGACCGAGTCCTCAAAGCCGGTCCGCCCATGGGGACAATCTTCACATCCTTGACAAGATGTGGGCTCCACCTGGAAAACCAAAAAAGGTGGTTTCACTCCCGGCTTCACAGGTATCGCGGCTTCCGTCTCGGTCAGCGACTACGCGCGTTCGGCGAGATCACAGGCCCCGTCGGTTAGGGGTTCTGAAGCTGTGGGCGGCACAATACAGTCCTCCTGACGCACGCTCTCCATTGGCGTCTCCACCGGTTCGTCGGACACAACTGACACCGGTCGTACACAATTTGGAGATGAGGTGTCAGTCTAAGGAGGACTATAAGGCTTCAACCGCGACGGAGGAACAAACCAACGGTGACGGCCAACTCGTATGCGCACGCACTGCGGTCCGTTTGACTTGCACCACTTCTACAGGACCCAGATACGCCCCCCTTATAATAAGACATTATGTAATGCAGCCATGTCCGTAATTACCACTCCAGGCCGACAGGTGTCCCCCTGTCATTGCACATGTAACCCCTTCACTACCTCACCTGCAGTTGGCATTGATTCTTAAGAGCATTCATTAGGGCATTTAGACACTCCCACCCCCTTCCCCCTCCCCTCCATTTTTTTCCTACAGGGGTATTAGAGCTTAGAAACACCAGGGTTGTATAATTTATTGAAACAGTTTATTGAAACATGTGGTTTAGATAGGTTTCCATTGCACTGTAATCCGTAATGTGTTTGTGCTGGTGCCAAACCCCTTTCATATCCTCTATGTATACCTGAATCGGAGAAAAAAAATCCATCAGTATGCTGATGATACACAATTTTACACTGCAGTGAAGTCAAAGTTAGATATGGAGAGCCTCCGTAACCTCGAAGATTGCACGCGAGTGGTGCTTGTGTGGTTTGCATTGAACGAAATGCTGCTTAATTCAGGAAAATCGAAGGTTCTGCTTGTTGGCACTAGGGCTCAGGTGAAAACATTTGTGGGAGGATCAGGTGTGGCGGTCACAGACTCCGGGATTCAGTTTTCTACTCATCTAAAGAACATCGGGACCATACTCAACCGGAATATGTCGTTAGATCACCACCTGCAAAATATAGTCAGGTCCTGCAATTTTCATATCAGGGCTCTACGACACATTCGACCACTATTGAGTCGTGGCATAGCCAATGTGGTAGCGTGTAGCATAGTATCGACAAGGCTTGATTATTGCAAATCACTACTATACGGGATGTCTGGCAAAAACATTAACAAGATGCAGCGTATACAAAAGTATTTGATACGTGTCATGGCAGGTACTGCATGTCCATCCAGTGCTCGCTGGGCTGCATTGGTGTCCAGTTGTCCAATGAATGCATTATAAGGTCACACTCATTACACACAAAGTTCTTGCGACATGAACCACAATACCTTTCTGATCTCATCAAGGAGCATAAACCATCATGCGAACTCTGGTCATCCTCACAGCAGCGGCTTTTGGATAGCCATCGAACAAAGACGGTCGCTGCATTGCCCACTTTCAGATATGCTTCTGCAGCCGTTTGTAACGCTCTTTCTTCCGATATTAGGAAGCCACTGGAGCTATGCACTTTCAAATCTAGATTGAAAACTAATTTCTTTGGAACTGTTTTTTTGTTTAGTTTTTTGTCTTTCCTCCGCACCTTCGACTAGCACGGTTGGCTACGTACAGTGCGAAATAAGTTGACCATACATACAGAGATGTAATGGATGAACGTGCATTCTAAAACTCGTGTAAACTGACACTTTTATTCACTAACCTAGGTGCAATGGCTCAAACACATGAATAAGGTTAACCACTCTGAGTCGCGTTGTTACGAGAGGTACATTGCACGTGCATTTACAGCGCCGTCAGTGCCGAGTTTATACAGCCCTTGTTAACATGAACACGGAAATTATTACCATCATCATTACAATCAACATTGGTATCATCTCCAGGTGTTTCGGGTTGTTAGCTACTGCTTACAACCCGTTTGTAGTTCCTCGGCGATTGTGAGATGCAATTTGCATGATTGACATGACAGAATATTGCTGTGGACATTATCCCAATCTTCAGCATCAGTCATCTTGTCCACGCATGCATCAATAACGAAATGATTAGGGCGAGCTTAGAGCAATGATAAGATGCTCTCAACTTTGTGCTGAGATTTGGAAAAATATTGGGGAATGGAGGCATGGAGCAAGGTATTTTGTTCATGGTGTTTGCATAATTTAATATCCAATATCTGATTCATTAAATGTACATGGGGAAATTAATTACACCCTACTGTTGAGCAAAAATGTATTTCACGTTTTGACGTGCGCATATGTATAACTTGGCTCCAGATTCATGTGTTTGCATGTTTTGTCAATAATTCACAGTACACACGGTGCCGATGTGGGTTAAGACTAACATTTTAATATTAAAACAGAGATAATTACACTTGTTATTATGGTATTACAGTAACAATATTTATCACAACATGCAGACATAACCAAATGCTACATTAGGTTTATTAACAGCTCACTAATACAAACAGCACAATGTGTGGATCATCTTCAGCTGTAAAAGTAGGACAGCAATTTTCCCCACGTGATGGGGAGAGGGGAGAGATGCTCAGGGAAACAAATCGTTGTTGATGTAAATAGATATAATGGGCCCATTTAAACATCGTGAAGCTGCCACATTTTCTTAAAATGCCATCTTCAGTGTATGGTAGACGAGCTTTACTACCCGGCTTCCCCCGAGACTTGGATTCTTGTCTTGGATTAATACACGGCCTACGCGGAGGGTGGGGGGGTGCGTGACGTCAGCAGGCACACTGCGTAACGCTGCCGCATGCGGGTGACATCACAAATGTGACATCACAGATGTGACGTCACCGCTCACTTGCCGTGCAAAAGATATTCATTATTGCGCCCCCCCCCCCCCCCCCCAAAATGCAAAAGTCTATTTTTATACTTTTTGCATGGTATACAGTCTGGAAGCTACCCACATGTCAAATTTTAAGTTTGTGGCATGTCGGGAAGTACGCTAAACATTTCGAACAGACACACATTCACAAGTTTCCCTTTCATATTTATAGATACAATTATTATGTTTACAAATGACTAAATTTGCATTTGTGTGTATGTGGAACTTTAGGCACCAGAGCCCCACAATCCGGATTCAAATTCTGAATATATAAAACGCCTGCAGCAATTCAGATGCGAGTCCGCCCTGGGGTCCTCTTGGGCACCTCCGTCTAAAACGCAGATACGTTTGGCAGCAGCGTATTGGAGGGTCGAAGGCGGCAGTGTGTAGTCTTGGCCACACTACCTCTTGTGTTGTGCTGTCTGTAATATGTGTTCGTTAACAACACCTGCCCTAGTAGTCTATAAAGCAAAAAATAGTGAAAATGGTACATTAAGGACAGGCAAACCAACATCTGCAAATCAACTAGAGTATCCATTGCATGCCATAATTTCTATGAGCAAACGTCTCTTCTACAGGAGCCTCGCATGGGAGTATTTTCTCTCCTGCTGTATATGATAGTGGACAATATATGTATTTAATAATTATTTGAAGAGTGGTAAGACTCCATATTATGGCAAATGTGCTATGTATGATACGACGTAGCAAACATGTCACATAAACCCATCTCTGCAGAAATTAGAGTGGTATCTTCAAAAGTTGTGTGGGTTTTCTCTGGGCAAGCCAATTTCTTCCCATAATATTCTTTGGGTCTTTCGGTAAAGCCACGTAGAAAGAAAAACAATTAAACATCACGTGTCGATTGCAACACAAGCAATCGTCTTCAGGTGAGAGAGAGAGAGAAAGCTGCTGAGACAAGGTCTTATATAGGCCTGAGATGTGTGCATCAAGGTAGATAACTGATTTCACTAGAATTCAACTAGCATATTTTCAAGCCGGACTTTGCTGATGAGACCTTGCGTCAAAACCAGCTCAGAATTTGCTTGTGTTTCACTCCCAGTAAGCCTTGCAGTTGACAGGAAAAAAATACTTTAATTCTTGATGTGCAGGGACAGATATGTATAGGAGATTTACTGTAATTTTTTTTATATAGAACTATGGATCTGCTGGTCTCCAAAGGTAACGGTATTCGGATATGGGGGTGATGGAGGAGAGGCACTGCACTGCCGTTCACCTGCGTAGAAAGTGATTGAAATGGTGTGCTGTCTATAAAATAAACTCAACATGTTTCCCAACAACTCTTTAAAAAGTCTGAAAACAGTATTAGAATTCAATAAACCACACTAAACATGCAACGTATTTTTCATAAATGTTTGGAATGTTTCATCACTAAAATATAACTATATGCCCAGTTCCTTATGATTACATATTTAAATAACATAGCAATTGGATTACATTTACCACAGTCTAATTACACTTTAAAACATATTTTGTTAAGGGGACTGAACATAAGCTTAGTTTTAAGCAAACACCTACGGTACTGAGACTGCCACACTCCACACATACGTTTCTAGACACGTTGTTGAAAGCATAACATGCTCCATTCAAACTTAACGCGGCGGTTATCATAGAGGTGGTGCTGATGAGTTGACAGGAGTAATAAGGCTCTGATTTTGGTTCGGTTATTTTAGTAAAATTCAAGACTGACATGTAGGAGAAAAAAACTATTCACAGAAAGGTCACAGAATAACATGGGATGGTGCCCCATCTGAAAACGTGTCTTGTATGATAAATATCAATATGTATTTAAGTTAAAATTCTAAAAAGAAAGTTTGTAAACGTTTTAAAATACATAAAGTTACCAATTTGAGTATTTTTTACATTTCAAGTCAATGTGAATATAACCGTTTTAAAAATAATAAAATAACGGGGACACAGTTCTTATGGGGATAACCATATGGCCCCATCCCTCCTCATGACGCCCCTCACACGTCTGTCTGTGCAGCACATGCAGTACAGCATTTTTTAAAGAAAAAACGTAAGTACCTCATGAAATGTTTCCACAGCTATGTTTAAGATGTCATAAACTTTAAATTTATGATTTCCGTGACCACTCCGTGACTTCCATGCAAAAACTGGAGCCTTCCTGTGTGACGGTTGGAAGATGAGATTCATCAGTAACCACTGGATGCACCAAGTGATAAACAACCTCACTATGTTGTCACTATTCACCCTGCCTGTGCCTGACAACAGTGTTTCTCTTTTTTGGCCCGCGGACCACTCAGCCGATGCAAATATTTCCACGGACCACCCAGCCCCCCACCCCTAGTGACAAAACGCAATCACTTCTCTGTCTAAATACCAGGAATACAAAATGAGTCATTTTACCGGAACATAGAAAAAAATTGAAACGCAGCTATAAGCAGTTTTTTTTTATGGGGGCACACTTTAAGGACAGTCCAATGTTTGTGGGAAATGCTCCTTCTTCAAAGCAGACAGAATAATTACCTGACAAAAAATGAGAAAGTATCACGCTATAGAACATTTGAAATACAGATATATTTCGTGATAAATTTGGATTTTGCAAATCTACTGCTGAATGAAGGTAGCCCCATAATGGTACAACTTAACCAGTATGCACCTCCAATTGTTTTGTTATTGCTTGACAAAATTTATTTTGGTAAAGTAAATTTTTAGCAATTCCATTCATTTTTTATAGGTATATCAAATATGGAAAATGAAAAGCAAGTATAATCCTATTTTATGAAGCTCATATAGTTGTACCAATTCCCAAGATTTTCTTTATAAATTCAGTGCCTTAAATATGGAGATATTTCTGTTGATATATATTCCAAAAGCACGTGAGGGCAATTTAGCTCGGATTGGTCCAGCATTGAAATGCAGTGAATTTCGTGGCATGCATGACTTAGATGCTTGCTGTGACAACTAAGGGCCCGTCCCAGAATCAATGATATTGTATGTAGATGTCGAGACTTTCTCTGTTCTAAGATGTAAATGGATCTCATGGAAATTGGAGTGCTTGGTTAATCTTCTGGAGTGAAAAGCGTGATAAATAACATTTTATCAAATGAACCTTATGGCAGGACCCCGGGGTCCCATAAGCCCCCGGCTCTTGCATAAACTGCGTTGTTGAAGGTGAACGATACGGAAATCTATTCCTCTCGACGAGCTCTACACGATGCGCTAATCAAAGTTTCAAAGTTTTGTTTCTTCTGCGCATTCGTCCTCGCTGTGCTTGGAGGACATGACAACAGAATGAACCGCGCCAGGTGGGTCGCGGCGTTTATGTGCGCGGTGGGACGGAGTCGTCAAAAATAAATGAATTAATTATGATTTTGACTTCCGTTTATTCGGGACCCCGGGGTCCCGCCATAAGGTTCAAATATTTCTGATGTCGAGTTTATTTATTCACACGGGGGATGCCCCATGCTATGTCATGTATTATGCACGAGGCAGTGGCTGTGGTTTAGATATTTAGCCACAGCCACAGCATCACAGTCACAACGAACTCGTCATACCAAGAGGCTCTTATCTGCCATCCTTCATATAAACGTATCGAATAAACGGGTACAAATTTACATCCACTAACCTCTGCTGGTAACAGGAACTATGGTTGAATGATTATGGATGAGAGTGGTTTTACTGTATCTCAAGATGTCATCTGTAAGAGGTTGCTCAAAGGGAATTGAAGAGTGGACAGTGAGTTGGATGATTGGATACTTTTGGCCGAGGGAAAGAAGCGGAAGAAGGCCTATGGTAACTACAAATGTATACAGCAGTGGGACAGGGGTCGTCCTGAGTTCTCTCAGGTCTTGGTGTCTTCTCCCAGCACAGGGAGGGATAGATCACAGCGGCAACGCTCTCGTGCTGCTACGCCGGCGAGCAGCGCCTCCGTCTACACACACCATGCAGGGCACCATCGACAGGATTAGTCTATGAGACCAGACCAGATATTTCATATGTCTGTACCAACTGAGGTGTTTTTTTCAAGAGTATTTTATGAACAAGACGATTCAGGTGCACACAGAGGATGAAAGGAGATTTACACCAGCACAAACACATTCTGGATTCCAGTAGAATGGAAACCTGTCTAAACCGCATGTTTCAATAAACTGATTCAATACACTGTGCAACTCTGGTGTCTTTCTAAGCTCTTATACTCTTGTAGAAGGGAAAAAAGGGAAGGGTGGGGGAAGGGGGGCGAAATGCCCGAATGAATGATCTTAAGAATCAATGCCCACTGGACCACCTGAGGTGTTATAACAAATAATTAACTCTTATTAGCCATAAATAGGTTGGTACCATTAAAATGTTGTTTTGTTAAATGGTATCCATTTCTGCTCTGGCCCAAGGACTAAACTAAACTGAGCAAGACCACTGGGCATTTCAACATTATATAGAATAAACATCACTATTTTGCTGTACAGATAACAGTAATTCAAACGTTAGTAAAAAAATATTCAAACCTACCTTCACGGATATTAAGCAAGGCTGTTTGTACATTTATAATTATTTCAAGTTAACGTAGAAATCACCAAACTTAGTTAAAAAATGTTTAATTTAGAAAATTGTGCTTTATCAAGGCATGGTCACTAGAAGGGATGATGGCTGGTGGTCAAGACTTACGGAGTGGCAATCAAAGGAAGAAACGTGCCCTAGAGGATGCCCTTTATGAAGATGGAGGGATGAAAACTGCAAAAAAAATGCAGGTGCTAAATGGATTTCTACACCACAGGACAGTGACTTGGGAAGGCTCAAATCCAGCAGTGAATTATGGCTCATCATGATGAATATATGAAACAAGAATGACATCTCCAGTTTGACACCATTGGAACCTCCTTTGCCAGTAGCAAAATATGATAATTAGTTTTTTACCCTTTTATCTGGCACCAAAACTGACACCTTTTTTTACAAGGAGTCATGTTTGCATTGACCACAATACCTGCGGTCGGAATGCAAACAAAAAACACAAATCTGATAATGTATGCACTGCCCTTGAAATTGATTGGTCCACACCCGAGACGGCTTTTCTTAGAGCCTAGTCTCACATGGTGTTGGACCAGATGACGCCAAAAGGCGCACAACTCAAAGACAATGCACCATCAGAGTATGAGAGCTGGGGGTAAGCATTTACATTCATTTGAATCGACATACAGCCTCACATTAACACGTTTACCCAGCCATGCGATTGTACAGCAGGAGGTTGGGACTTACCTGTGTGTTCAAGTTGTTGGCAGCTCGCTGCATCTCACTGAGTGCGCGTTGCATGAACTGGAAAGCGTGACAGTCTACACACGGGTGCACTGTGAAGGATCACACCCACACACACAAGGCACACACAAAGACAAATATCAGAATGAAGTGAGCGACATAGGCGCCCAGCACCACGACTGACTGCCTATGTCTCCCTAGTGCTGCTGTTTACACACCGCACAAGGTACTCGTTTAAGGCTGAGCCGACCTACGGAAGGCTCAAGACTGGTTCAAATATTCGCTGCCACTGTTATTGGTCGTGAGCGAGAATATAACTCGGGTCGCCGTGTTCGTAACACAGCACGCTGACCGCTGTGCCACCGCTCCCCCACATACACAACACATGCACACACATATGATGTCATACATAACAACAACTTCCATTCGCCACTAAGTGGCGGTGATGTCACCACGACGCTTGTGCCAGGCCATGTGCACCTTGAGGCCACGTGAAGTGTCGAACGCCCGCTGGCAGGAGGTCACGGGGCAGACCCAGGTGCCACGGGTCAACTGACTGAGATGACCGAGACGAGTGGCTGATGCACCACCTGTGCCCCCTACTGTGCCAACTTGCTGTGCTTTAGCCACCCGGCGCTCCGCTCGTTGTTGTGAGCGTCGCTCATCCGCCCTCCGTTGTTGTTGGAGGGTGACTGCTTCCAACTGCCCAGTAGCGTCCTTCACGAGCCTCCTCCACTGAGGCCGATCTTGACACCGCTGGTACCAGTCATCGGCAAGTCCACTCAGCTCCACATCTTCTTGTACCACGTCACTCCATTTCTTCTCTAGCCCATGCCGTGCCCATTTAGCCCTCTCTATCCGGCCGAACAAAAGCTGTTTAGGCATGCGGTGGCTGTGCATGCGGGCTACATGACCCAGCCAACGCAGCCTTGCCTGCCTGATGAGCTCACCAATGGGACTTTGCCCAAATCTTTCAAGGATTTGTGAGCTCCTCACACAATCAAGCCTCATTAAACCCAGGATGGATCGTAGGCAGGCCAGCCTAAATGTTTCTAACTGGCGAAGATGTTCCATTAGGGGGGTCCACGTTTCGCAAGCATGGAGAAGGGAGGGAATGACCGTGGCCAAGAAGACCTGAAGCTTCGTGCGGAGCGACAGACCAGGTAGCTTACACACAGTGTTATGCAACTGATGAAAAGATATTGCCGCTCGACTGATTCGGAATGAGACCTCTGCTGCTAAACCGGAGTCGGTCATGAGCACACTTCCCAGGTATGGGAAACTCTCCACTCTCTCCACAACTGCCCCATCACCGATTGGGAGTTGTGGGGGTGGAGTGTCCGATGGTACAAAATACCCAGGCAGGTGCTTCGTTTTGGTGGGGCTGATGGTAAGGCCCCACCTCTTAGTGGCACACTCCAGTTTCAGCAGGAGTGCCTCCAACTCCTCCTCTGAATGAGCCGCAATTACCAGGTCGTTGGCATACATGATGTAGTTGACCAATAGGGAGCCATCCCTTGACCGCAGCCGGGCATCGATCAGCCTCCCATTGTATCTGTACCAGATGGAAATTCCTCCGGTACAGCTACTGAAGGCTTCACGAACTACGTGGTCGAAAAGATGTTAAATAATGTTGGAGCCAGAGGACATCCCTGTCGCACCCAAAGGTGTACAGGGAATGGCTCTGACTCTCGGCCACGTAGTTTAACCCGGGCCTGCTCACCATCATGAAGGTCCTTAATGAGCATGAGCAGAGGGTCAGGGACTCTGAAAGCACGAAGAACAACCCAGAGCCCAGGCCTACTGATGGTATCATAGGCCTTAACCAGGTCAATAAAGCAGAGATGTAGGTCTTGTTGGAATTCCCTACACCTCTGCTGTAGCAGATGGACAGAAAATATGGCATCTGTGCAGGACCGCCCTTTCCGGAAACCGCATTGGGGCTCTGCAAGCCTCTCCTCAGCATGCCTAGCAAGGCGATGTTGAATAATCCTTGCCAGGACCTTTCCCGGCACACTGAGGAGTGAGATGCCCCTGTAGTTGTTACAGTCTGCGCGTTCCCCCTTCTTAAAGAGGGGGACCACCAGGGCATCCTTCCAATCCTGCGGAACCCGTCCAGTGGTCCAGACTGTTGTTATGATGTCATGTAGGGCAGTCTGTGCACAAATGCCACCCTCCCTCAGCATTTCGCTTGGAAGATCATCTCTGCCCGGTGCCTTTACTGGTCTCAGACTCTGGATCGCCTTCAGTACTTCCTCAGCAGATGGCACCTCAGCCTGCCACTCATAGGGGGTGACTTCTTCTTCCAATATTTGAGGCACCGCAGCCTCAGCAGGGTCATCCCCACTTTGTGCCACGATGTTTTCCTGGCTGAGGGATTTCCCCTCCCCCAGGACCTCACCGAAATGCTCAGCAAATCTGCAAACCTGTTCCTGAGGGTCGGAGATTGGATCACCGTTTTTCCCCTAATGATGGTAATAGGTGTGGCGCTGCAGGTTACTTTTTTGATGGAGTTAAATAGGGATTTGTGATCACGGGCCTCCTCAGCAACCCGCGACCACCACCCATCCTTGCAGCGCCTCACGCCTCTACGAACATCCGAGTGAAGGCTGCGGTAAGCCTCCTCATTCTCTAAAGTGGAATGCTGTAGACGATTCGAGTGGGCCTGTCACTTTTTCTCAACCATCCTGAACACCTCCTCTGTCAGCCAGGGTCTCTGAGGAGGTCTGAACCACGTACCCAAAGCAGCCATTGTAGCTGCATGAGTCACAGTCCTAAACCTCGCCCATTTACCCTCGACATCAGGAGTGGGGGACGATGCCAACCCCAGCCGCAAGCGATGATTACATTTTCGCTTGCAACTTTCATCAGCTAACTGAGACCAGGCCACCTTAGGTTGGAATGGGGTCCTGGGTGTACACCCACCACCGGAGTGGAAGAATGGTAGGCGCATCTTACAGATGACTAGTCGATGGTCAGAGGGCAGATCAGCTCCACGGTAGGTCCTGGTATCAAGGACATGGGCTTGCATCCGCTGGTCCATCACTATGTAGTCCAGCAGATGTTCTTGCTTGGACCCGGCATGCATTCATGATGTTGTGTGGATGTGCCGATGCCGGAACAGCGTGTTGGTAATTACAAGCCCATGGGCTGCACAAAAATCTAGCAGCCTCCTACCGTTGCTATTGAGCTGATCTGGCCCATGCTTTCCAATCACTCCAAACCAGGTGCCAGCATGATGACCAACTCAGGCATTGAAGTCACCCAACAAAATTACACTATCCCGAGGGGCCACTTTAGCCAGCACCTGTGATAGGAGGTCATAGAAGGCATCTGACTCATTGGCCTTGCCTGCATCCCTCCACGGATGTTCGTCTTCGGTGGGGGCATAAGTAACCACGACCACCACTCCTCGCCTCCGGTTGATGGGAAGGTGAGCCCAAAGTAGCCTGGGGCTTACAGCTTCCCATACTTTACCGCCACGCTCCCACGTCTCCTTCATTCTTTTGTTCAGAAGAAGAGCCACACCCTGTTGTTTGGCAGTCTCCTGCCCCGAGTAGAGGACTGTCCACCCCTCATGGTGGCAGGAGCCAGAGCCGGTCCACCGGACCTCCTGTATGCCACAGAGATCCAGGCGGCAGAGGTCGCAAACGGGTTTTGATTCCTTACCCGATACCCGGCTACCCGTACCCGGCCGGGTATCGGGTAGGGTACGGGTACCCGATTGCGACCTCTGGGATGAAGCCATGTTGCAGGCGCGGGTGGGTTGATTCTAGGAACTTGAATTGTGAGAAGAGACAAGACGTTGGGAAATGAGTGACAAACGGTGACTCACCAGTGACTCACGGCCTACCCGTACCCGGCCGCACCAGGGTCGCAAACGGGTACCCGTACCCGGCCGGGTACGGGTAGCCGGGTATCGGGTAGGGTACGGGTATCGGGTACCCGGTTGCGACCTCTGCCAGGCGGTACCGGTCCAACTCCCGACAGAGGAGAGCAGCCTCTCCTCCGCAGCATGTCACACACACACACAACACGTCACACACTCACAGCACACTCACCATCCACACCACTCCAACAGCACACACAGAACATCATATCACACCAACACAGTACACAAATACAGCACCAGCACAGCAATAAAATACAGTACATAACCACAGCACACCTTACAATCACGTAAATAGTATACAAATACAGCACACCTCACCAGCACAACACACCCAATAAAAACACAATGGCAGCACACCTCAAGAGCACACACAGTTCACAAACACAGCATTCCTCATCATCACACATTGCACCAAAGACAAATATCTCCCGTATAGCCTTAACGGATTGTTGGGGCAAGTGCGGTTAGCGAGCAGCACCTATGAAGGCCGACACGGCACACGAGGGGTGGGTGGCCAGTCCCATGCCCGGCCGCCTTTGTCTCCTGAGTGGCGATGTTTACACACCGCAACAGGTACTCATTTGTGGCTGGGTCGACCTAGAGGAGGCCCATGACTGGTTTTGATAATCGTCACCGGTATTGGCCGTGAGCAGGACTCGAACTCGGGTCGCGGGGTATGTAGCGCAGTGCCCTGACCGCTACACTAATCGCTCCCCATACACACAGCACCACCACCACCATGACAATACACACAGCGCAGCCCCTCTGCACAGGAGCACAGCACGTCCCCGCAGCAGCGGCCCACGTCGCGTACGCAGCTCACGTACTCTCGCTGCCATCCTGCGCGGCACCCGAGACGGCTGCTGTTGTCGCTGCTGTTGCAGTCCAGGCGAGAAGCAGCGTCAGCACGACGACGACAACGGAAGGGAGGACGCGCTGCCGGGACATGTCTCCTCGGCGCGTGACGACGGGGGGATGAATCTTGATCTCGCGTGCCCGAGCACTGCTACTGCGGGCTCAGAGGGCTCAGAGGGCCGTCGTGTGGCGGTGCGTCCTCTGCGTGCGCTCACAAAGACGCGGCAGCCTCGCTGGGCGGGGCTGCCCCGCGCGCCCTCTCGGCGCTAATTGAGCCGCCACTCAGCTCCGCCGCTCACTCACCGTGACATTCAATTCAGTTTCAGTTTTCATTTATTTGGTATAGCCCTGTGAGCCATTCGGCTCTTGAATCGGGTGCAACCGCAACAAGCAAAACACTAAAACATGAACAAGAAAACATCTTAAAGCGACTATGTGACTATGTGCAAACAGAAAATCCAAGAAAAGACAGCAAAATATTGCAGAAAAAGCACCGTACACCAACACATCACACGCGAGTCCGGGCACACCACCACCAACTACAACTACCCCCCCAGTGATGATGGCCACCCTTATGCCAGGCGCATACCAGGCTACTGGAGGACAAGAGCCTCTCCACGCTATGCGAGTCGGGCTAGGGCTATTTAAAACCGTACACTTCAGCACTATACTATTATTGATAACAGCAATTTGTTCAGGAGATAGATGTCAATGTGGAGGTGTGCTTACCATGACGAGAGGGCTTCAAAAGAGAGTCCGTGCGGTTTTGCTATCCCTCTATTCAAGGACGCACACTTCAGCACTGAACTAATTATTTAGTGAGAGTGCTGCGTTAGCAATGGTGCACAAGCACACATTTATCCCCCCCCCCCCCAAAAAAAAATCAACGCATCCGACAATATATTGGACGTGTTTTCTCTTCAAGGCATTGTTATTGACTTCTGTATTGAGGTTTTTGTTATTCACATTTTAGCACCCTGGACAGCGCGGGTTCAAGGCGAGGAGCAAAGCCGCGGGAGCATGATACAGCTCATAGGGGACTGTATAATATACAAGACATATTCTGCTGTTTTCCAGTTGTAATCCTCTCAGATATCTCCGACTGTTTAGTGAACTTGTTGTACGTGACTTGCATTCATCATATTTATCTTGTGCTGTGAGTCGGATGCAGTCAATGGGGGCGTCGTGGTTAGCACTGTGGAGGAGGCTCGTGAAGGACGCTTCTGGCCAGTTGGAGGCAGTCGCCCTCCAACAACAACGGAGGGCAGAGGAGCGACGCTCACAACAACGAGCGGAGCGCCGGGTGGCTAAAGCACAGCAAGTTGGCACAGTAGGGGGCACAGGTGGCGCATCTGCCAGTCATCTCAGTCGGTCAACCCATGGCACCTGCTGGGTCTGTCCCGTGCCCTGTCAGCGAGTCTTCGACACTTCACGTGGCCTCAAAGTGCACCTAGCCTGGTACACAGGGACCGTGGTGTGGTTGACGTCACTTAATGGCGAATGATGGTTATTGGTATTCGCGGTTAACACACTGCGTTATGAACCCGGCGACCCATATTCGATTCCCAGCCACGGATACCAGCCATGAGTGATATCTGAGTCAGTCCTGGGCTTCCCCCTTCACCAACCCGCAGTGTGGTCAAACATCCACCACGACGTGGGAATGACTTCATCCACCAATATTATTACACATGGTTTCCTACATCAGCAGTTCTCCTGTTGTGTTTGTTTCACCTGATGACGATTGCTTGTGTTGCGATCGAAACGTCGTGATATTTCAATTTCTTTATTATTTTTCTATCTACGTGGTTTTACCGAAAGACCCAAAGAATAATATAATTACCGTATCGAGTGTAGGAGGCAATGTGATGACACACCATTAGCCGACCTACAATCGGCAAATAATCCCTTCATAAGTCATTTCTCCTCTACGGTATCCACGTTGACGAGATGTTAACTACCTCGATCTCGATCCTGACGCCTTTATATTTTGAGTTTGCATGTCTCTATCCTCGTGGTTGCGTGGATTTTTCTCTGATTTATCCGGTTTTCCCCTCCACATTTAGAAACGTGCTTTTAAAGTTATGCTAAATGTCTACGTGAAATCCCACTTCGTTGAGCTATCACCATATGTGGTAAGGTCGTTTCTGAAAAAGAGACGTATAACTGTGGGCTTTACTTCGTAAAATAGTTTACTAGTTAGTTTAGTAATTTAGTATCCATGTTGCAGTCTGTGTCAACCAGCCCCAAAAGAACCCGGGGTTGTTGAAAGACAACCGGTAACTGTGTTAGAACTGCTTTCATAATCGGTTACCGGTTACGAAAGTAACGAATCGGTAGCCGTGTCCAGTGTTATCTTAGTAATTGCTCATTTTACTGTTGCCGAAAGGTTCTCCACTCGAGGAAAGCTCTCGGGGTATTTGGTCTACTCTTCCACGACGACACGACGGTGTTGGAGTTGGGCGTCCCCACACATTACCCCACCACACGCGACTTGTCAATTGAACTGTGGAGAACCGACGTGCCGTACTCGATACCACTGCTGTGGGGTGGGCATTGGCAGGGGGACGGGGGCATTTAAATGTTTCTCTTAAGTTTAAAATGGTTGATGGGGAGGTTAAAGCCTCTATGTGTCGCTAGACTTTACAAATTCAGCCAAAAATGTTACTCAAAACTCAACATGTCAATATCACTCCCTTTAAATGGGAAATGCGACGTTTCTGGCCATGGCCCTTCTTCACAACACAAAAAACACTGTTACGAGACACGTACTGTATTGAATATAATTAACGAACGCAGGATTCTCAATACAACGCTGGGGATCGCCCCTCGATCTGCATCATGTCCCGGTCCCCCGAGATGTCGCTTCTGTTTGCTTCGACAGAATCTCGTGGCGAGACAAACAAAAAAACAAAGTTGCTGGATTCGACGACAGTGCCATAGCCGTCAACCCATAATAAGGTTTGCCCCTATTCTGTTAATGGGAACACGAGTTTTCAGATTCATACGGCGTTCAGTCGTCTCAATACGTACACGGGATTTTGTAGGATGAACGTTGAGATGTATAATGACGACGGGGTGACACCAATAGGGTCTAAATTGGTCTGTTAATAGGGTACTGTGATGAGAGTTGGCAACTCGATTCCTTCTAGATTTGAAGCTTTCGTGACTGCAAGGATTCAAACTCGTAGGTTTTTTCGGTAAAGTCACGTAGGTATAACTAAATAATAAAAATAATAATATAAAGAATAATATAAATACAATAATAAATCAGGAGGCAACACAAGTCTCCGTCATCAGGTTGGACCGCGTCCCAACTCAATTCGTCTGCAACGCATCGTGTGATCTCATCTCGTTCGTCTCACCGACTCTTTTGCGAGCGTAACCAACACCACATCTACTGCACGTAGAATATCGCGTTGTGTTGTTGTTCGTGAATATCCTTCGTGGAGGATGGAAACGGATGAGGATTGCAATCGCCAGGGGGCAGCAGCAGCAGCAGGAGGAGCCGCATGGCCGCGCGGCCGCGCTGGTTCGCGTTCGGGTTCAACGCCTTCGGGCAGCTCGGCGCGGCGCGGAGCGATCCGCCGGAGCTTTGCGTGACCCGTCCGAGACGCGTCACGCTCGGGGCCCGCGGGAGGGCAGGGGCAGGAGACGACGAAGGGCGGCACGAGGAAGAAGACGGAGACGACGACGACGATGAGCAGGCCGTGGTTGACGTGGCCCCGGCTTGGGGCAGCGCGGCGCTGCGCGGTGAGCCCCGCGAAGTTCTTCTCGCCACGCTGTGGGACACGGGAATCGCAATTACGATGCTTTGTGATATTATTTTGTTGTTGTTGTTTGGGCCTCACGCTGCTGCTGAGCTTCTGGGGTTCGAGACCGAGGCATAGTTTGCTGGTTTAAAGAGAACCAGCTAAACTAACCCAACATTAACGCAGCGCTACTGCAAAGCCTCTATAGGCCGGCGAAATAAACTTTTTTTATTTAGACGGTAAACGTAATTGAAGTCTCCTTGTTTATTCCATTGGCTATTTGATCGCCCTCCCCGTGTTTTGTTTTAATAAACAACATCGCACAGTAGTTGTGTTTGTTTATATGAACGATGTTCCGGCCTTGTCGCCGAGGCTTCGTAGCGGCGCTGTTGGGGCCAGAGTGTGTGGGCTCGGTGCAAGTTGCCTCTCTCCGGGTCGATGAACATCTCTGAGGAGATTTATCATTTTAAAAATCACTGCGATAGGGGCAGCTGCAATGGATCAAGGTCGAATTGGCTCCGCTGTTGTGCGTGAAATAGGCGTTTTGTATGTTGAGGAGCGAGTTTAACGCGCTGCGCTACAAACCCCGAGTTCGATTCCCGCTCAAGATCCATTAACAGTCGCGATCCGAACCTGGGATGTCCTCTCGTTCTACTCCGCCTTTAACGAGTACCTGGCACGCTGTGTAAACATCGCCACGAGGGAGACAAAGGCGGTCGGGCGTGGTGATCGCCACCCCCCACCCCCTCGTGTGGCCGTCCCGGCCCCCCTCCCGCTAACAGCACTTGACCCAACAGTCTGTGGCGGTGGTGGTGGGGATCTAAATCTATAGTCTTAGGTTTTTTCGGTAAAGTCACGTAGGTAAAAAAATAAAAATAGATATAAAATAATAAATGAAAATAAATCAATTAAATCACGACGTTTTGGAGGCAACACAAGTCTCCGTCTTCAGGTGGGACCGTCACAGCTAAATGTACTATTATTTGTTTTTTTTACCTACGTGACTTTACCGAAAAAAACCTACGAGTATGAATCCTTGCAGTCACGAAAGCTTCAAATCTAGGGATCTAAATCTGCCTGGGTCACCACGCCCGCTCTGTGTGGGTCTCGATTCCTCCCATCGACTTGGGTCACAAAGCGCCCACAGTCCACGTTCATCTCTGTTCCTGCAAACAAGCCCACTGTACATCTTCTTTCTGGTCTACGCCGCGTGTTTATGAGAAATACGCGTTACAAATAATTCAAATAAACGGCCACAAATAATTCAAATAAACGGCCAGGTATAAAAAAGGGACCATCCGCTAAAAGGTATGAGATGTGCAAGGAGAGCCAAGTTATTCAAACCGTAAAGCCCAGTAAAGATGTAAAATTGCACGTCTTCCTTGAGCTGGTGGTGGGAAGTCCTCTCATTCTTATTACAGAGGCCACTGTCACTCATGCGAGCAGTGTTGACTTCTCACATTGCGTCTCGTTTTAATGCCACTGTGATGGGCTGAATCCATCCTCAACTGTGTTTTGAAGTCGATCTTTAAATTGTCACAAGTGCCACCACAGTTCAAGTGCCACATTGTGTACACGTGTCTTGCACAGTTATAGGTACTGTATTACAAGGATACAAGTGTATAGCCCATTTACGTTTGAATGGATGTCACCATAACAAAATATATCTTTGCAAAGTGAAATAATTTTATCCGTTTTATTGAGCCCTAATTAATTGGGTTTTTAGACGTTTAGCTCATCCAAATGTCTTTCTCTTCCTTGGCAGGTTCTCGAGACGTGTGCGTCCAGGGGTTTGCACAGGGAGGGAGAGCGGGCCCCACACGCGTTCCCCTGGCCGACGGTGCGCAGCAGCTGGCATGCAATGATAGTTTTCTCGTGCTCGTGACGCACGCGTGTGCCCAGGTGTGGGAGTGGAGCTTGGCTCTCCTGCCTCCAGAGGACTTGCATGAGAATGCACGTCCCCTTTGGGACATGCCCCTACTCTCGGGAGCAAAGGAGACACCAGGTACATTATGTAATCTGTAAACGTTCCATATTAAGGAATTGCTCTATGTTCATAATATAAATCTTGACTTGAAAGCTTTCGTGACTGCAGGAATTCATACTCTTTGGGTCTTTCGGTAAAGTCATGTAGATAGAAAAATAAGAAAAAATCACGACGTTTCGATCGCAACACAAGCAATCGTCTTCAGGTGAAAAAATACAGCAGGCAGACTGCTGAGGCAGGAAGACATATAGCGAGAGAGCTACTGCAGCCAAAGGTTATATAGGTCTGAGATGGGTACAACCCAAGGGTAAGTGGGCGGGGCTAGAGATGGAATTTGCAAGTAAATGTAAGATCGCAGAGCTAGGTACACCTCGGCCATTGTGTTGCTAGAGATTAGCATGTCAATCTGTTAATGTAACCCCACGGCTACAGTGTTCAAGAAGCCATTGTATTGCTCGAGATTAGAGATTAGCATGTCAATGTGAGACGACTCCCACAGCAGCGGCTGTGTTAATGAGAGACATTCAGCCTGTTAAACAACGAGCGCCACCGCCGCATCGAGGAAAAGGGAGCAGCAGCTATGTTAGTGAGACATTTAGCCTGTTAATGTGAAGACATTTAACAAGGTAATGTTACTCAGAGAGTCGGAAATAACTGCAAACATAGGCAGGTAGGATGGAAGCATCACAGCCAGTTATGACTTTACCTGGTTAATAATGTCCTTCCAATGATTGCTCAGTTTGTACCCATCTTCTCGGTTGAAATTGTGTCTGTGTTTATATATCTGGATGGCTTCATGAACAAATCTTTGTTGATAGCCAGTGGGTTTGCATAGTACCTTCGTCTTGGAGAAATCAATTTCATGTGTGCCCACAGCGTTAAAACAATCATCAGCCACGGCAGAGGTGTTGGTCCTACCGTGTTTCAGATCCGCCTTGTGTTTGCGAACACGATCTGAGACATGTCGCTTAGTTTCCCCCATGTAACTACTGCCGCAGGCACAGCTTAGTTTGTAGACACCGGGGTATTGCATGTCAGGGATCACATCCTTCACAGATGGGATCAGATCACGAATTTTACGTACTGTATTGAATCGGACCTGGATCTTGTGTTTGCTCATGATTTTGGAAATATTTTTGGTGACCCCTGCTATGTATGGCAAGGTGATGGTTTTGATTGGGTCCTCAGGTGGTTCCTCCCAACGGTTGGGATGACAGCTTTACGGATTGTGGAATCCGAATATCCATTCATCTTGAGGGCTTGGTGTACGTGCTCCAGTTCACTGGATAGGTGGTGATGGTCAGAAATGCAACGGGCTATATGGTGTAGTGTTTTGATGAGGGAATTCTTCTGGGCTGGATGGTGGTGGGAGTTAGGTTTTAGATAGGCATCCGTGTGGGTGGCTTTCCTGTAGACAGTGTCCCGAAGAGCCATCTGGTCTCTTCTCGATCAAAACATCCAAGAATGGTAAATTGCCATTCTTTTCCACCTCCATGGAGAATTTTATGGCTGGGTGTATGGAATTGATGTGGTTGAAGAATTTGTTCAGAGCTGGCAGGCCTTTGGGCCAGATGACGAACATGTCATCTATGTATCTCTCCCACAAGGAAGGACATAGGATGGATGTCTGGATGGCATCTGTCTCAATTTTTTTTATAGTACAGCGACACATTCAATCACGTATCTCCCCTGACCATATATACACCCCCACCCAGTTCTGATAATGGAAAGTGTGTTGTTTCAAAGTGTACTCTAAAGTACAAATAAAGAATTTCCCTGTATTTAAAGCAGTTTGTGGGGTTTTTTTGTCCAGTAACCTAGTTATGCATTGCATAACTGTAATTTTCTATTGATGTTCACCTAGCGTACCTTTTCTCATGTCGGCCTCTACATCGGTCTCCAGTGAGTCAGATATGCAATGCTGAATTGTATAGTTTAAAATTGACACACTTGCAAACATTTTTGCGAACCACCATTGTTTTTTCTGCTTTGCATTGCAAATAATACATCTTTTCCTGGAAAGCATCACTTCTCATATGTGCTTTCATTTTTGCATTACTCTCTCCAGTGAAATGTGTTGTATTATGTCTGTGTTATAATGGGATTTATATTATGGGTATCTAAAAATTGTAAACATGGATATAAACACACAAATGGTGATAAAATATTGTTTAAAGATGGTTTCAGTTTTCAACATACAGTACTGTAACTGGTTTAAGCAAAAAGAATTCTGATAGATGCTGGCAGTCACGCGTGGTAATCTATTGTGTTCGTGCTGCATTATATATTGTCACCTACAGCTATCTTGCGAAATCTGCCATTCGCTGCAGTTCCGTGAGAGTTATGTTTATACTGTCCCTAGGTTGCAATAAACGTAACTATTCTGCTTGGACCATGGTGCATGATCATTGGGAGAGCTTCCCACCTCTTCATTGCATGCTGCATTGAGAGAAATTAGGCTGGCGCTTTTTAAAATGACATAACAGTGTCAGACCACGGAGCCAAGGGGATTGCGAGACAGAGACATCATGATTTGTGATACACCATGGCATCGCTCACCGCATCGCCAGTGACGGAGACAAAGTGAATAAGCCCCTGTATCCTCATTGTTCCCTATTACATAATTACGACTTAGATGATGAGGGGTGACCTATAAAACGTAGACAACTCATATTTCCATTTTCTAAATAAAAATGCCTGATTTAGACAATATTTTACAGTTCTGAGTACAATTCAAGATGTGGCAGCATAATTAAATTAATACTCCACTCTTGACCAAACCCTGCTTTTTATAGACACCCATGTTTGGGTCGGTGTGTTTAGTTGCATGCCATTGGATGTGTGTGCTAGCAGGCCACATGAAGTCAAGTCGTTAAGTCATGAAGTCTGTACACGTGAACATTAATCTCCCTTTTGTTTATCTCACTTTCATCTCACTAATTGTTCTCTTGTGGACATCACTCCTCTCTTATCTTGTCTCACTTTAGTATCTTATCTGACTAATCTGTATATCTTTGTCTTGGCTTGCCATATCTCTCAATAGGCCACTCCAATGGCCTGTGTGAGTCAGATGTGTGCCACAAGTTTAAGGACCATGATGTAGAATATATTGGGTGTACTGTAAATCCCATTAATACAATCTAAATTATTAACTATTAATTTAAATTAATATGTTTAACAGACTTTTTTCAAAAATACATACAGACAACAGCACTTAAGTATGTATGCATAACAGGTACGTTTGGTTTAATAAATTTTGCGTGAATGCAATTGACAAATTATGGACACTTTTCGATCACCATAACCGAATTTCCGTATGAACAAAATTTCACATGGCACATGCCATGTGATCAAACAAGGACCACCCAGGAGGCTGCATCATCTATTCGTGACTGTCATGGCATCCCTACCGTGCAATAGTAATGTCTCCGCATCACCTTTCCACTCATTCCAACATGCAGATGTTTTGGTGAGTTCCCTGAAATGATTAATTTTTGTAAATGTATTACTCAACCATTTCAATATTTATATTCTTTATTATTATTTTTGTATTGTGAAAAGTATATTTGTAGGTTTGGAGTAGTGTTTCAATGACTATCTGAAACACATTTGTAAAAGCCATTTAGATTTACGAAATTTAGTTTTACGCGTGTTTTTTGAAGAACGCATTCCTTTCATAGATTTAGGGATACCTGTATACCATTTAACCAGTGGCGGAGCCAGGATTTTCAGGTACGGGGGGCAACCCTTCCAGCAATGAAAAATGATAGGAGTTGTTAGTAAGTAAGGACTTGTACCTTGCTTTTTATTCGACGCGTGTGCGGCGATGGCGCAGCCATCGATCGAGGGTTGAATTCGAACCGTGTGTGATCGGCATCGCACTCGCTGAAGGTATGCCTTCAGGGAAGTCGTGTACTGTATACGCAATAGCGCACAATTCTGAGTCACTTATAACTGCTTTGCCGTTACTTATTGCCAATTATGGACTCAGACTATTGTCCTATCATTTCATTGAGTCCCTGCCACATAATAATATGCTAAAATGCTACACAGTGCCAGTTGAGGTTGCAAAATGCCGATTTATTACTAATAAACCCCAATGATCTGATCGAAATTAGGGATTTCGATCGGATCATTGGGGGGGCACGTGCCACCCCACCCCCACTGGCTCTGCCAGTGCATTTAACAACAATACATTGGCAATTTAAAATATAACTTTTTTGGTCTTTGTTCAGTTCCCTAAATAATTCAGGAACATACAGTGTAATTCCACATGAATGAGGCATTATACTTGATGTTTGTGAAACTTTTATATTTTGAAAAGACCAATAGAATTGTGAGTGTACCCTTTTCATGTGAATTGCTACCTTCTCTTACATTGTTTTTATAGCTTTATTTTGGTGATTTCGAAAACGTTTTGGTTTAGCCATATTTGTTGTAGTATAGAGTTAGACTGATAACTCTAATCGAAATTGTCTTATGGTTGTTATTGTTTGACTTGCATCCCACTGGGATTTTTGCACACAGCATTGATATATGGTGCTTTTTTTCTGGAAGACTGCTGTTTTTTCCTGGATTTTTCTGTTGCGCGTAGTCACTTTAAGATGTTTCTTGTTCATGTTTTTGTTTGTTGCGGTTGCACCCGATTCAAGAGCCGAATGGCTCACAGGGCTATGCCTAGTAAATTAACTGAACTGAACTTGTTACTCTGCTGTTCCTGTGAAAGCAGTGCTCCCTCTCGTGCCCGGTGGTTATGTTGACCTGCGACCTCCTTTCTTCCATCCACTGCCTGAGCTGGCGGGAGGGGTGCGGGCTCTCCAACTGGCCCTGGGGCGCGAGCATGTGCTCCTTCTCACAGATGATGGAACCATTTGGGGTTGGGGCCCCGGCAGGTAAGAACAGAACAGGTCTAGGTGGCCGCAAGTGATTTATATACATTTTTAGCAGCATCAGTAGACAATAGCATTCGGATATGTAAGGCAAGACACATCATTAACTGGTACTGTGGACATATAAACACGTCTACACTAATTTAAGTTGGAAATATTTCTGTAAAGTGAAACTCAAATATATTTGAGACGCTACCCTTCCGTTTCACATATTAAACATGTTCGTGCACAATAGATAGTGACACTATGTTACTCATCAATGTTTCATTGGAGTGGGTAGGAACACAAATGAAGCTTATGGGAATGGAAGGGAAAAATAATTATAAGTTTACTAGCTTTACGACCCGGCTTCGCCCAGGACTTGGATTCACCACGCCCGGCCGCCTTTGTCTGCCCAGTGGCGATGTTCACACACCACAGCAGTTACTCGTTTGAGGCTGAGTCGACCTAGGGGAGGCCCAGGACCGGTTCAAATAATCGTCACCGGTGGTGGCAGTGAGCGGGAATCGAACTCGGGTCGCCGGGTTCGTAGCGCAGCGCGCGAATCGCTGCGTAGTCGCTGCCCCCCCCCCACACACACGGGATAAAGAGAAAGATCCCCGTGTAGCCTGTGAGACTGTAGGGGGCAAGTGCTGTTAGCGAGCACCTATGAAGGCCGGCAGCGCGCTACGTACTACGCATGCGCTGGTGACATGACAGATGTGACGTCACAGCTCACTTGCCGTGCAAAATATATGCATTTTTATAATTTTTGCATGATGTACAGTCTGGAAAGTACCCACATGGAAAATTTGAAGTTTGTTGCATATCGGTAAGTACGCTGAACATTTTGAACAGACACACATAACAAATTTCCCTTTTATATATAGATAAGCTTACAAGACAGAATGGAATGAGAAGCCGATTGGGTGGAAATTAAGCTTGAACTGAAAGTATGCCCTCGAAAGAATTTGCAGCAGTAACGCACATTTCTTATTTACACGTGTGTTATTGGTTCTGTGGGTCATGAGTTAAGCCTGTTATATTGAACTATGACTGTCCAATATAGAACTATTTTATCTGCATCCAGGCTGCTCTCTGTTCAGGATATGATACATTGGACAGTGATTAATGTTGGGTATTAAATTGAGTATTAAATTAAAAGGATAATTTTTTTCTAGAGGGTTCACCTGATTCCTGCAGCCCCTAGGAGTCGCTACATTCACGCAATTTAAAAGAGTGAATTGATTCTTAAATCGAATTGTGAAGCTGAATCGCGACGATTCATCAAATCATCGCCAGGGGGCGTTTTCGTTGCTCCCCGAGTAGCATTACATTTTACTGCTGGTGGTGACGTGCACATTGCCTTGGATGGAAGCAATCCTATTGTTAACAATCATTTAAAATAAAGTGATGCCACATTGCCCACGTTAAATAATAATTAAATGTGGGTCAACCATAGAGGACATTGGGGACCACAGGAGGAGAGAGGGACGCACATTGGCATGGCAAGAGAAACATGGAATTGGACTAAGGTGGCAAACAGAAATGCATACACACGAAAGAGAAAATAATTATATAAGCGAATAAAGGTATCGTAATGAACTAAATAATGTTTATACGTACCATTTTGGAAGGGTTTATTTTTCAGTATTCTCAAATTCTTGTGAGGTGCAGTGCTTCATGTGGCCTACTGTGTTCTGTTGTGGTTTCTATAGACTTTGTTCCTAAAGGGTGCGCATAAACATTCTGTGTTTGGCATTTACGAGGTTTCTCCATTCATACGCCTATAATGTGTTATAAATCACGAATTCTCTCTGTTAAATATAAGGAAACTAATCAATTGGGCACAATGACTCGGCTGATATTGGTTCCTCTTTAAGTTTATCTTTTATAAGTGAAATTGAGCATTTAATCCATTTAAAAATTGAAAAGTTGCAACCCCCCAAAATGCATTTACTACGTTTTGTTATTGCTTGTTAAACTATGTTAAGTGCCTTGAGCCAATGCGTTTTATAAATATACAGTTGTTAAACTCTATTTTGCGCACCCATCAAGTTTAAATAATACGAGTGGATGTGGCCAAGTGGTTTCAGAGGTCAGAGCACAGAGCTGGCATATTTGGGATTCCGGGCTTGATTTTGGGCAATTATAAACTAGAAATGAACAGTGAGATGATGGTGTGTTGTCCAACTTAGGCATGGACAGCAAGGACATGGTACAACAGAGGCCGAGGCGGCCCCCCGGCCCGTCGAGGGACTGCAGGGCCTTCCCATGGTGGGCGTAGCGGCAGGGGGGTGGCACTCGGTGGCCCTCAGCAGTGAGTCATCATCCTGCTATATCTGATATATTTAATATTTTCACTGCTTGTCTTGCGTGTACATAATAGCTGTGCGCTTGGGAGGGTTAAAGAGATTCCTGAGTTATTGGTTGAAATTCTACGTTCCCCAGGTCTGTTATTTTATAGGATGACCATTGTTGAGTCCCAATAAGTGGTACGAATGTTATTGACTTTTATTGACTGAAGGGATAACCTGTGCTGTCTTCTTCATTTCTTATGACTCCCCATCACTCTCCGCTACCTCATGCTGTTCTTCATTGTCACTTGATATCGTTCTATTTTCTTATGCGTCCTTTATCCTGTCTCCTCTCATCCATCTCTTGTTACTGCCTTTCTCCTGAAAATGAAATGATAACATGGCAATTTGGCAACTGACACTGAAAATGCATCTTAAAAAAACTATAGCTGAAATTATGATTCTTAATTGAGTTTAGGGTTGGGCCGTCTGACCTAAGGTTATGTGTCCTAACCCAAAAGTAAATTATGAAACAATAGATCACAAGGGGCGGGGATAGGGAGGAGGTGAATCGATATTTACTCATTCTGTTAAACTTTGTTTCTGGACATGGAAAGGTCCTTATCTCCATCACGTGTTCACAGGATAGATGAGACATAAGCACTGTCTTAATTGTATGTCACAGTTTGATAGATTCACATGAGACCAGTGGCCCTTGGGAACTACAGGACTCAAGATACTGAACCATGGCAGCACCCACTTGAACATCATATTATGATTGGTTCACGAATCCTTGGAGAACTCTGACTACTGGGAAGGTTTTCAGAGCCGCAGTCCCACGAAAAGCATGGGAATACCTAAGCAGATTACATGAGGCATTTTGTTGGATTTTTACATTTGTTTTTCACAATGATTGCTATCAGTGTTAAAACTGTAGTAGAAATGGAATCTTTGAGTTGCTCTTAATTTTAACACCTGACATATGCCCAGGTAACACTGATGTCCCATGGTTATAGAGAAACTAAAATTGTGAAATGGTTTTGTCTACAGTCACATTCTCACAAACAAGTGTATTTGTTGAGTGCTTCCGTTGAGACTGTTCTCTCACGGTGCAACGTGCAGGGGGTGGGGATGTTTACACTTGGGGCTGGAATGAAGCTGGACAGCTGGGCCTGCCATCAAAACGTGGTCTCGGTGAGGGGAGTAACTCTCCAAAACGATGCAATCTCCATGGTAAGTGAGAAGCATATAACTGTGTGCAGTGTTTAGCACAGATTTTAGTGTCTTGATGCTTTTTGGACCCACTTATTCTTATGTATCACTAGCTTTACTACCCGGCTTCGCCCGGGACTTGGATTCTTGTCTTGGATTAATAGACGGTCTACGCGGAGGGTGCGGGGGGGGATGCGTGACATCAGCAGGCACACTGCATAATGCTGCCGCATGCGGGTGACATCAATCACAGATGTGACGTTACCGCTCACTTGCCGTGCAAAATATATACATTATTGCACCCCCCCCCCCCCCCCCCCCCAAAATACAAAAGTCGATTTTTATACTTTTTGCATTATGTACAGTATGGAAGCTACCCACATGCCAAATTTCAAGTTTGTTGCATATTGGGAAGTATGTTAAACATTTTAAACAGACACACATATTCACAAATTTTCCTTTTATTTATATAGATTCATTTTATATCGTCTTCCTCTGTTGCAGTACTCCCATTGTCACCCAACCTTGACTTCTCAGCTGGTGGAGACAAAACTCACTTTCACAGCCAACGCGATAGCTGCGTGAGCTGCACCGATTTTGTTAATGCAGGTGACACCTGATTGGACATGAATAAATGTATCAGAGCTCATGTCATGGTATTATGAATAGTGATTGGTAAGGCACTTAGCAGTATCTCCTCCAGCCCCATTATCTGGATGCCATCGGCCAGTTGGAGGATCAGCTTGTGTTGGTAAAGCTATGATTACCAGGGCCTTACTTCCCTGTTGTGGTAGCTTTTCTCCCACTGCAGACTCCGCTGCCTTAAGTAATTGTAATACAGAAGGGGCCTCAGCCATACACCATAGATCCTTTTGACACTGCATGCATATGGCTTCCACTTACGATGTTGCCCATCTCACATGATTAGGATAGGGAGTTGGAATTAAGAATACATTCATCATAATGGACAGTATGTATGTTGCACTTCTTTCGCACCGTACGTAGCTAACCATAATAATTGAAGTATCTCTGACCTTGCCGCCCATCCATTTAGAGCAGTTTGGTTATGTTGGCAGATGCGCATATAATTTTTCATTTTCATCAATAACCTTAATAGCCAAATGAGATACCATTGAGACGAGTCTCTTTTGGAAAAGAGACTTAGAAAAATAGACTTAAAGACATGTGTAGCTGATACAGTCCACTTAAAGTTGTGGTCAGAAGAGGCAAAATCTCGGAAATTTTAGAGTTGTGAATGGAACATGACATATTTATGCTGTATAATGGTGGATTAGTGATTTATGTGAAATACTCTCCACTTAAAATGAATGCATACGCACTCTTTAAAACGTTCATGACACTGGACAATTGTTTTCGAAACAGTAATAGATTATAGTCATTTGATTATTTGTAACATGGTTGACAACCTGAAAATGATATCACACTGCTCAAATTTCAAGCGATTTCCCTATAGAAAATGAATGGATTATATAACATGTAGGCTTTCACAAACAATATTATTCATAATAATTTTTTTGGGGTTATATCTCTGAAATATAAATGTGTCGTGAACCCACCACCACCCGACATAGCTAATTAGTAAGGTTTGTCACGTAAACAAAACGTGCAATGAGTTACTATTTCAGCACCATTCTGATAGCTATAGGCTCAGTGCTGCTTGGAAGCATATTATTAAGTAATACACCATTTTATTACATGCCTATTCACATTATCACATGCTTTTTAGCTGTGACTAATCCAACCAGGAATATATACTGGATTTTCTCAGATTAACATGACCCATTGTAACTTATATGACCACATTAACCCCCCTCTGGTCTTCACACTTAATGGGCTCACAGTGGTGACATCACCTTTACTCTATTTAAAACCACAACAGGAAGACTTCTTCACAGTTCTCGCTAATCGCTTGATGTAGCTGGTTTTTTCATCGCCAATGAGATGTTGTACTCAAATTGTATTTGTTATGGGTTTACTCTCCAATATACCGGTGTACTAAAGTACGTGACAAACCTTACTAATTGGCAGTCGGGTGGTGGTGGGTCAACGACATATTTACGAGAGTTTTGTGCTTCTGAACTGGAAGATTCATATACTTATTGACATGTGCCACCTTTTAAAATTATTGGTGGAGCAGTATTGCTCGACTTGGTGGTGATATTAATTTTTTATTTGTTGCCTTTGCTCTAGCAATGTGGAAGAGTAATTTGTGGAAGGTACCGGAGGTTTATGTTGTCTACATTTTGTGATTAATTTGTTTTCGACAAGGGCGGGAGAATGATTGTTCACTGGTGCCACCGTCGGATACAAACAAACAACAACATGGGTGCAGAGCGGATGAAGAACGAGAGCCACAAGACGCCTCTCATGGAGAAAAGGGAGAATCACAGAAGACGGGAACACAGTACATCTCAATACAAGCCTTCCCTGCACTGCTGGACTTCCCCGGCGATGATGAGATTTCGGCCGTCGCCGCTGGGTCCAGGCACACAGTCGCCCTCACGAGTAATTTTTATCTCAACTTCATGTGTCAATTAGTTGGCAATTTCCTTTACATGAATTCTGTTTTCAGAACTAAAGCTTGTTTGCAGCTTACTTGTGTATCTAAATATGAAAAATATCAAACAAATCCGTGTAGGATTTTTATGTTTTGTCCATTTTAAATATTTGAGTAAATCTTAATTTTAAATATATGGTTCACCTTTATGGGAGAGCAATAATGCGGTGATTTGTGCACCTCTTAACTGGCGACACGTGTCTGTTTCCTGATCGGCTGTTGCAAGTAATACCTGACATGGCCCTGGCCCCCAATATGTCACAAACTGACCAACGTGGTGAATTTTATTCAAACAACTCCCATGCGCAAAACATAGTGTGAGAAGACCTTTGCTATACTTAAAGCATGTTTATTAAAAGAAGATGAAGAGAGATGCAGAGACAGAGAAGTGAAAAGTACAGAATTATTATTCTGGTTCACGTGAAATTCATATAATATTTGGCCATATAGTGAAAGTGTTGTGTGCACAGCTAGGTATCACAGCATTTTCCCTATTTCCTTTTTTAATATTTAGAAATTTACAGTATTCTTCTGAAGTCATTCACAAGTTAGGTATGCTGTATTGACACCTTATGATATTGGACCAAAATGAAAGTGACCATGTGTCATGTTGATAGTGAGGGATGCTGCCGTGGTATAATTGTTAGAACATGGACTTGCAATACACAGGTCTCATGATTGATCTCCCAGATTTCTTAACCCCCCCCCCCCCACTATCCACCCAGCAGCACGAGCTGCGGGTACATGCCAGCTGTGGGTGCACGCCAGCTGTGGGTACACACGAGCTGCGGGTACACGCCAGCTGTGGGTGCACGCCAGCTGTGGGTAGTCGCCAGCTTTGGGTACATCACAAAAGATCTTCAGGGCATGTGTAGTGGGGTAAAGTGTGAGTACTCCCAATCTTTTCCAAGACATCTGGCCAGCATGGAAGCCAAAACATACTAGTGGAGGCCCTAGCAGTGGCATGAACAAGTAATTGCAGTATTATTTCCTGTGTAAATATGGAAATTCAAGAAGAGTGCATAACGGCCATTAATTTCAAGCTAGCTGATCGTAACGTGAATTTCAAATTACTCGGTGTTAACTTCTACTTTGTTTATTTTGGTTGCAGAGTGTGGCAAGCTCTACACATGGGGATGGGGTAAGTGATTGTGTGTACTTGTTTACATGTACATCAGTACTGCTTTGAAATCTATTTCATCCAGATTGTGCTACTATTAAGTGTGTATATTGGCAACAGCTTCCTACCTGCGTTGCATGTCATGGGACAACATAGGAAAGGTATTCTTTTAGCTATGCTCTTATTTACAATTATATTTATCATCTTATTGGATGTGTGTAATAAAGCCACTTTGATCTGTTATACATGTTCGTATTCTCGTACCCTTGATCCTTAGAATTATTTGATGGTACACAGTGATTTCCTCCTGCACATATGTGTACAAACTGATTAGCATAAATTAAATTTCCTGTCTACCTCATACTCAGCTTGCATAGAGAAAACATCAGCTTAGTTGTACAGTGCATAAACAAATGAGTGGACAGCCCTGCTGAAAAGGAGCTGTCAAAGTTCTCACTGCTAAAAGCAGCCCTCACATTGGAAATGAGTTTTTACAACGACCGTGTTAGAAATAACTACCTTATTGTCTGTATGTGATGTTTTGGATGCCCCACTGTGTAAACTTAAATACATCTCATTGTGATATATGATGCAATCTAAATTGGCTTGCCCTTGCCTCTGGAATAAAAAAGATTGACAACATTAAGACTCATTGGGAAGTGATAGTTGGGCAGATCTGTCTGGGAGGCTGCTATTTTGTGCCTTCTGAAAGAGAGCAATATTGATATTAAATTATATGGAAAATCCTCGCTAAACGCATTTTTTCACAATGTGTTTCACTATCATACGGTTCCTCTATTGGGAAACACTTTTTGAAAGACAACGTGCGTGCCGTTATCATGCGGTTCATGAGCAGTCGATGACAAACTGTTTTTTTGGTCTGGGCCGCTCAGTAGTATGGGAATTCTGGGTCTACGTGTGGAGTAATACAGTACGCAGCGTACCCTCATCTCAGTTCTTTGTCCCATCATGGGATGGCTAGGGTGATTTTAAAGTGCAAATGTGCATTGGGTTTATTTATACCCTGCAATGTACATATAATAATTCCTCGCTTAACACATTTTCGCTTAACGTGGCACTTTTCAGGTACGCATCTACAGCGTTAAATATATGCACGCCAGACTATGTTCAAGATAGGAATAACTAAATACCTCTTCTATAGGTAGCAAACTAGTTCACAAATGGGATAAGTAAGACACCTCAGACCAAATTTTGGTGTGTAATAAAGCTTTGTTTCATGTAGTTGGGATTTTAGCAATTTGTTTTTTTTTAAACGTAATAGGAACAGTTATTTTTAAAAATTTCAGGTGTGCATAACTACACACTGATGCAGCTTCTCGCTCTCCCAATCAAGAAAGAGGCCATTAGCTATGTTCACCCTTTCAAGCACTAACCAAGCTCAAGACTGCTTATTTCTTGATCTGATGAGATCACATACATTCTAGCTGTTATGGACATTCTGGGCATGCATTGGGCAGTGCTATAAAATCCAATCTTGTATTGTACTTCCATGTTCCCCCACCATACCCATCACACTGATTAGCGTGAGAAGTATGCTAAATAACCCTCATGACATGCATGGAATTGAACGACCTCCATCCCGCAGTGGATTGACACGGTCTTCTGTCACTACACGTACATATATTGTAAAATGGTATTCTAAGTTGTCCGCAAAGCACATTTTGTCTTTTTTAAGTTCTCCGCTAACCACCTATGGAAGTAATTTATGACAAAGCTAATTTGCGTTCAACATATTACAAATGTAGAATGTGTTTAAGTCGTACATCCACAGCGAACACCAAAGGTGTGGCAATGCTTTAGGCATAATAACCGACACGCTTTGGTTGTTGTTTCACCTTTCAGGGGAGCATGGCCAGCTGGGCCATGGCTCCCGCAGGAGTTGGGACGAGCCACAGCACGTGGAATTCTTCTGCCAGCACAGCCTCGAGGTGGTGGCAGTGCGCTGCGGTGACTGGAGCACCTTTGCAATGGCACGGCCTATGCCCAGCAATAAATAAAGTAAATGTTTCCTATTTATAGGGCTTGAAAGTGTCTTTGGAATTACCTACTATAATCACCCATAAATGTCTGTCCGTCCCACGTGTGACGTCACTCCACATGAGGCCCATCCCCCCGTGTGACGTCACTCCACATGAGGCCCATCCCCCCGTGTGACGTCACTCCACATAAGACCCACCCCCCTTATTAATATTCATGAGTGGGTGGATTTTTACACGAATGCAGAAAAAGGTCGAGCTGAATTAAATAATTTATTACGCAAAGTTGCTTCAAATATGACGTTTCTTTACAGAAAGTGACGGTGAAAAATAAATCGACGCAGCACAGTGCTACATCCGTGCGTGATGTCACTGCAAAAGAGACCCTCTCATTCATATTCATGCCCGCGTGGAAATTTACACGAACGCACAAGAAGGTTGCGCACTCCACATGACGCACCCCTCCCAACATTCTGCACCCCTCCACAATAACCATGAGTGGGTGACGTCACTCCACATGTCGCACCCCTCTCCAATAACCATTAGTGGGTGACGTCACTCCACATGGGGCTACCCACCCCCTCAATAATCATGAGCTGAACAATTTTATTTATTGAATATTTCATATTTACTGCAATATGCACCCGTCCTTGGATGGGCAAAAAAGCTCGTCTTTTATATTCGACATGGTGTCTGTCAATTCTAGCAATGTTGAAGAAAGCATGGCCCTTTAAGGCCCTTGATTGGTACAATTGGCAAAATGTGTTGATGTAATGAAATTTGAAACTTAATATATAGAAATGGAGACATCAATGATAACTTCGGTTTAAGGCCATAGCTTACACTGCATCAAAATATATTTCGCCATGTGTAAATCAGCTTTGCCCACCAGATTTACTTATGGCAAAAGTAAGTGGACGCCACACCAAGTCACCAGGTCAGATGTCAAACCTATAGTCAGACGAGCAAAAGTGTGGATTTACACTGCGAATATACAGTGAAGGCCTGTAATCTATCACTGCGGAGACAGGTTTGTGGATCGTCTGTGAGATTCCCACACCTGCTTGGCTGTGCATTGAGCAGGACTTGACAGGACAATAAACGGCTTCATAAACCCATTTGTGCCTCGTATGTGTGGGTTTTCTCTGGGTACTTGATTTTTATACCATATGCAAAATACTTATGAAAATGGAGTAAAAAAATCCCGATATTGGACAGTCGAAAAAAATTGTCAAGACTCAGCTTTCCCTACTCAACTGCCTTCTTAGGCTAGTGTGTGCATAGCTGATTGCAAGCTAGCCCAATAAATACCAGTAATTTTATATTTATAGAGTGCCTTAGCCCAAGGTATTAGAGCAGCCTATTAAGCTGGCTATTCCAGTCCCCGCTTCGTATGTGTGCCACTGAGAGTTTGCTCTGTAGAATACATGTAGGGCAACTTGGGGCAAAGCAGCCTTTTTAACCAATGAGGATTTTCAGTGTACAGTACTGAGATCGTACTCATCCCAAGTGTGAAACTCCCAAAGTACCTTGCATTACATCTCAACCTAAATAGGCACACTGAGGCCAAGTGTTTAGAGAAACGGTGAACGGTCATATGTACAGCTCAGTCTGGAATATGACACATTTATGTATATGTGGACAGATGAACGTGGATTAACATTCTTATAAAGCTTCGGTGGTGAGGAAGGGTGAGGGCGGGGAATATACATTTTGGGGAAAGGGAATATTGAAGATGTGGTTTGAGGCTGAGAATCGTCAATCCGTGTATGCATGCACACATGCAAATGTTATGAACTGAATGCCACTGGTGGTTGTCTGGGATTTGGTTGGGAAAAGCTCCTCAAGGCATGGGTAGCAGTGAAGCAAGGTGACAGGCCATCCCTGGTGATGTAAACCATATAAATGCTCCTCATGGATCCTATGAAGCTGTTGGGGTTATCCAAGTCACGTTTGAGAGGTATATTTTATGCCATATCCAAGGTGTGCTTGGCCACCGCGGAGTGTTCAGCAGCAGAGTGGAGTGGCACATGCCGCATGACACGGGCCTGGCGCTGCCCCTCCGTCTGACCAAGGTATTCCACACTGCAGACCTTGCACATGAGATTGAAGATCATGTGGCAACACTGAAGCAGATCCATCGATTGAGACATCCCCCTCAGCTGGAGAGTGAGTGGATGCTAGCTGGTGTTCAATGTAGCAGGTGCTAAATGCACAGACTAGGGAAATATGAGATTATACAGAACCCTTGGTCCCTGGGTTCTGCATATTTCCCTGTGTACGAGTACCTGGTCGGTTTGTGCTTGTGTAGTGAGTCCAACTGAGTCGCAGACGTTATCTTGGGAGCAACACTTCAATAAATCAACATAACATAACACAACTTACACTTGGGTGTTGAATGCTCATCTAGCCACGCTACGGCAGAACTAGACACGGTTTGCTATCCCGGCCCGGTCCACAAGCTGGGTCCCGGACCGCGTGGCGAGAGGCTCCTTTTACCCGACGTGGATCTTCATCACCAGCAACATGAAAAATCCCGAGCGCCTCACGGGGCCCCATTATATCGGCCTGGGCTGGGGTTGGTTCCGCCTCTCGCCCCGCCCACCTTCTAGATTTTTCGAGCTCTTTCCCGAAGGCTCCTCGAGTGCTCTTTTAGACCACGTGACCGCCCAGTGGCCCCCATCCACCGGTGGCCCCCCTCCAATATCATCCGGTCACGTGTCGGCAGGTCAACCAGCGTACCCCAACGTAACCCTGGCTGACTGACTCTTTTGCTCCCTCACCGGGAGCCCGCACCGCACACTGTACGTGGTGCCTCGCTAGGGCTGGTGGTACTACGTCCAGTAAGCGGGCTACACGTAATGCCAACACATCCGCCGTGGCTTCGTAAGCCCGGCACCACACAGTGACAATCACAGTCACTATACACTTGAATGGGCACAGTCATGCAGGGTTATCTATTCATTCTCTTTAAGAGGGTCCTATCAAGTAGTAGGGGCGATTATTGCAATGTATATTCCAAATATACATTCCAAATTAGTAATTTGCAGATATTTTTTTTTATTTGGCAATTATGCACTATATGTCAGCACACAACGGCCTACTCTTACGAATTATGTCATGGGATCGCTAACATTCACTGTGAAGCAGATGGCACAAATCCTTACAGTTAATACACCCGCAGTATTAATTAAGGTTACCACTGGATACGTACTGTGAACCTCTGCAACCAGTGGGTCATTTCACCGGCCTATTGTGCTGAGCACACAGTTATATTGGAGGGTCTCTGATTGTCTTTCAACATGACATCGTACAAAATATATTAAAACACTGATTTAATTTTTTTCTTTCCCAACAAAAAAAACAAACATTGACATTTCATTTTCTCTGACCTAAATTGAACCGCAAAATTGTTTAGTTAGAGCGTACGCTGGAGACAATCGGAAATATTTATATTGAGTGGCTAATACAAGTTATCCAAACATGACTCGAGAGTGCGATGTTTTGCAGGTTTCCAAGTAGACTGGTAAAACATGAATAGACCATAACATGTTTATTTTTATTTTCTAGCAGCATTTTATGTCTTGATATATTGGGGAACGTATATTTGTTATCAATGCCCATCAGTTTTAAAAATATTAATATGCATTGTTAAAAATTTATTCAAACGGATGTTAATATACACTATGCATTATGGATTGTTGTCTGCTGGACATTGATGAAGAAATAGCGATGCCATGTACAAATAAAAAGTACGATTTGTTTAAATTTAAATTTTTTATTCTGATATACTACCGACTGTTCCAACAGCACAATTTGCAGACTGTAAGAATGGCACGCAGCATAAGACAATCACATTAACGACATGCTGAATATTAATAAAACTAGATTACTTAAACTTTGCACTGGAAAAGCAGTTAATAATAGAATACGCTTATACATTGAACTTAAATGGCCCATTGTGAGATTATCCTTTCATATGCGTTGGCATCTTGTCAACCAAGTGCCTCTGTGCCCATGTACGTTACAAATGTATCAATATACTATCAACCCTTATTCAATAAATATTCATTTTATGTGCCAATATCTCCTTCAATAAAATAGGCATCGGTGAAATTTACAACAGAACGGGAACTGTACAGGGGGCATGGAGCAACAGGAATGAAAAAAGAAACCCGTCAAAACCACAGCAATATAAAGTGCAACCAAGCACAACAAATAGCACAAGAAATGTAAGTAGTAAGCACCTATTAAGGCCAGAAAGTAAAGAAACCTTATTTTAGATTTCATGGGAAGGCAAGTCTAGATAGATGTGTCTTGCACAGACCACGGAATTGAGAGACGTCCGGTCGCAGGGTGTTACAGATTTTTTTTGGGGCTGCGCTCTAGAAGGCTCGTGCCCCTAGCGCCGGGTGAAAAAGCCTGGGCTTGTCTTGCTGTTCCCGTGGAACGGGGTGTGTATGTGCCTGAGGATTGGAGGAAGACGCAGTTTTGTAGGTCGGGGCGAAGCCATGCATTGCTTTGTTGGTTAGGATTGCAACCTTCAATTGGATATTGAAGCGGGCCAGGAGCCAGTGCAAGCTGTGGAGGGTAGGCGTAACGTATTCAAAATGGCTAACTCGCCGGATCATCTGAGCTGCTGAGCATCTGCATTCTGCACTAACTGGGGCCTCTGCACAAAATCCAGTGGTATCTCTGTGTGTAGAGGGTGTTCCCAAAATCCAGACATGTTAAGACAAAGGCATGAACTAATGATTCCAGGTCTGGGGCAGAGATGAGCGGGCGCAATCCTCGGAGTGTTTGGAGGTGGTAGAAACCTGCCCTGCCCATAGCTGCGACCTGTGAGCGCATATTCAAGCTCTGATGGAACGGCACACCGACGTTATGTACTTCGGACACAGGGATAGTGCGAGCTCCGTTAATCAGTGGATGATTTACCTGGCCCTGCCACTCTCTCAAACGCCATTCTGAGCCGACAATCATGTACTCTGTCTTGCCCGAGTTTAGTTTCAGTCAGTTTTGCTCGATCCAAACAGCGACTTCAAATAAGCATTCTGATAGGGTAGAGATCACAGCATCTGGATCTGACATGTCACAACGATGGACCCAACAGCAGTCGCAACAATATGGCACAGTTTTCAGTCCTGTATTTCGGAATTGATGTTCAGTAAGGCACGTCCCATAAAGCCTCCATTCTGCCTTACACATTCTCAGTAAGGCAATGCTACTTTGGTTAAGACCTTGCAATGGAAACTCTCTTAATTGCTTTTGCTGTTTTTTTCTGGGTAGAGTACCATCTTGGTCACTTTACGAAGGATCTTGGCTCTCGCCTCTCGTAGCCTGACAGTTATCACCTGGTCAAACAAAAGAAACTTTACTTTCAGCTCGAGATGGCTGCCACCGCTTTCTATCCACACTCTTTTGTAAATCATCACTCTTGAGATCAGTTTAACAGTTCTTGTGATCAGTTCTTGAGATCACTCGCCTGAGATAGCTCAGTGAGGCTTGATTCACAACTGTGAGGCCTTCTTCATCCAACAGTGAATAGGCAACAGCTGATGATATGTTCAGTGTGAAGAATGTGAGTACATGTGTAGTGGATTAACGCGCGCCAAGGGGTGAAATTGTAAAAATGTGTGGGTTATGGACAGTTGGGTCGTATCAGGACAAGCAGGTGTAGCTGGGGGACAACGGCCGGAGAGAGACAGCTCGTTATGTAATTATGGGATGCAGGGCAGGAATTGGCCGGTAGTTGTTGTCAGGGACAAGGTGGCGCCAGTAAGTCTGGGGATGGGAGCAGGTGGCGGCCGCGGGCGCGGGGCGTGGGGGGGATGCCGGTTAATTGGAAATTAATGAGGACGGGGATAAATACGGGAGCGTGAGAGTGAGTTGGGGAGTTGTGCTGGGAACTGTACGGAGACGGTCGGAGCAGAAAAATAAAAATAGGTTAGCAGTAGAGACGGAGAAGATATGAGAGATAGAATATGGTAGCAGTGGAGCAGGAGAAGAAGAAGAGATGAGAAAAAGGATAGGCTAGCAGTGGAACGGGAACAAAGAGAGAGAAAGTTGGAGTGAGATGGAGGAGCCGAGAGAGAGCGACAGTTGGAGTGGGATGGAG